GTTGATTACTTCGCATCTACACACAGTTCTACTAGATAACTGATGCATACTAATCATTTTACCACTATGACAGTTGGAGAGCCTAGTCGGTGGTATTCGCTGACAATAATCTGTTAGGCGTAAGGCACCAACCATGACGTTTGAAAAGGTTTTGACTTTGGTTTAATTTTTTAAATTAATACCTGGAATTCTTAAGCTATAGCAGATGAAATTGCTGTGAAGAAAAACGCTTGTGGTCTTCAAATTAAAGTTGATTACTTAGGAGTTTCAATCGGCAGATCAGTGACCTATTTTCATCTTTGCAGTTAGTAATATTGAGGAAATCCAATCGATAGAAGATGTAGATACTGCTTGTGCCAGTAGAGTTCTGATGTTCACTACTGAGTAAGAAAAGGGAATTAGGAAACGCAAGCAATTCCCTTTTTGTGAGTATATTTCCTGGTATGGTCTTCTGGATTAAAAATTCTAGAAGGAAATAGCAAATAGGACTAATTAGTCCGTAATTCATTATTTAAAGTGCGATATGTGAACAGAAAATCTCCTTGCGTTTTACTGTAGGAAAAATAGTGAGGTTCATTCGGTCCAGTCGTTTATCATAAAACAGTCTAAAGGATAGTTTTATCAGGCCAGTTTCTATTCTGCGAACTCATTCTAATAATTCTGCCTCATATTTAAAGCGTACATTTGCTGCTTGGATCGCATGGCGACCGATAGCTGCTACATTGACGTGGTGGTCGGGCTCGCATATCACAATGATCCAACGAGCTATGCTGGTGGAACATTTGCTCCCTAGAGGTCCTGCCATACCAGAAAGGTCTGTTGGATAGTGGTTCGATGAAAAGCAGTTACCGTTGTAGTGTAACTTACTACACTACAATGTAGGTCTCAGGGCGAAGTTGTACTGCTACTAGCTGGATGGGGTCTGATGGCAGTAAGGTGTTTCCCTTGGGTAACCAGCAGTGCCATGCTGATGCTGCCTTCTCAGTGGAAGGTGGAGTTAGAAAATGTCGACCCCAAAAATAACACACCTCACCATATCTCACAGTCTGCCAGGGCGGTGGTTTTGGTTCGTTTGTCGTTTCCTTTCGACCATCCGGCCCGAAAACAACAAACGTTGAAAACAATCATACACAAAAGGCTGAGTGTGATAGGCCTCAATCAGATGTCCTATGGGCTCTGGGGTCACACAAATCTCTCTCAGGCACCTTAAAAAGAAATAGCCTTCCACGATGTCGGCAGTCAGGAAGTGTCAACCATCCGCACAACTCGATCAGCACTCAAGTTTCCTCAGACCTCTATCCACCTCCCCCATCATTACCTTCTAATCTTCCTTTACGTCTCTCAACTAACGATACTACATCAGCTTCAATTTCTCTTAGCTCTTCAGCCTTCGACAACGATCTGAGTCCACAAAACAGCATCATTGGTCTCCTTAAACCACTCTCCAAATTACATATTGGAGCCTTCACTGTCCGCACCCTCCATCAAATTGGTCAACAGGCTTCGTTGGCAAAGACTCTAGCAACTCGGGCATGGATGTGTGCTGCGTTTATGAGACACGCATACAAGACCCAGTTGGGGTTATTCACTTGACCTCTCTCGAACAATCTGGTGAGTCCGCAAAATTCACCCTCCGAGTTTCTGGAGATCCGATAGCTAACTCTCGCGGTCTTGCAGGTGTAAGCATAGCATTAAGCAGTAAGGTAGAAAACTCACTACTAGACTGGATCCCAGTTGACAGTCGCCTCTGCGCTATCCGACTGAACGGCACAGTGAGAACTGAAAGGAATAGTGAAATTCGCCGTTATCTCTTTGTAGTTTCTGCTTACGCACCCACTGACTGCAGTTCGGATGAAGTGATGGACGAGTCCTACCACAAACTATCTAGCTTCCTGTCGAAAGCCAAACGTTCGGACGTGGTGGTTGTTGCAGGTGACCTCAACGCACAGATGGGTAGACTGAGTGAGGCAGAAAGGCACTTAGGTGGCACTTTCGGAGTCCCGGCTGAACGTACAGATAACGATGATCGCCTACTGCGACTGTGCTCAGATAACCACCCATTTTTAGCTAACACAAATTTCAGACACAAAAGGACACTATCTGACGTCCTGAGCTCAACTCAGCTATAGACACAGGTAGACCACGTTGGTATTAGTTATCGCTGGAGAGGATTGGTGGAAGACTATCA